TTCCCAACCCCAGCCCCTAATACTTTTTTTTTAATTCAGTCATGGGGCTTGAACTCTGGGGCCTTGGCACTGAGCTTTTTAGCTCAAGGTGAGCGCTCTACCGCTTGAGCCACAGTGCCACTTCTGGGTTTCTGGGGGTTAATTGGAGATAAGAGTCTCATGGACTTTCTTGCCCAGGCTGGTTTTGAATTTCAATTCTCAGATTTCAGCCTCTTGAGTAGCTAGGATTACAAACGTGAGCCACTAGCACCTGGCCTAATACTTATTTTTATGATACCATTCTAGTAACCTATTATTGCTTTGACTTTTTTTTTTCAAATGCAAGTACCTCATTCTTTTCTTTATTTCAATTCACACATACATACACACATACTATATATGTAGTATACGATATGTTAATTATGTGATTGATATATGAAACTTATGTATTGCAATGATAGGAATTGAACTGAGGGTCTTAGTCAAGCTAGGTAAATGCTCTACAACTATGCTACATGTCCAACCCAACTCATAAGCTTCCCTTGTTCACTTCTTGCACACATTCTTTATCTCTTATGTGGCAAATACAATTCTTGTTTGGAGTATTATAGTGTGTATCAAAACATGAAATTTTCTACTGTGAAGATGTTTATAAAGTCTGAGAATCCTAAAAAATAATATAAAATGAAAGGGTAAAGATTGATTATACTCTGGTTAAAAGAAAGGCAGAGTGGCCGGGCGCTGGTGGCTCACGCCTGTAATCCTAGCTACTCAGGAGGCTGAGATCTGAGGATCGCGTTCAAAGCCAGCCCAGGCAGGAGAGACCATGAGACTCCTATCTCCAATAAAACACCAGAAAACCGGAAGTGGCGCTGTAGCTCAAGTGGTAGAGCGCTCACCTTGAGCTGAAGAGCTGAGGGACAGCGCCCAGGCCCAGAGTTCAAGTCCCATGACCGACCAAAAAAAAAAAAAAAAAGAAAAATGGTGGGACAGATGAGATTCTGATCTCATAGGATATAAACTGAATGACAGAGGGAGAAGGTATTTTAAGCACTAGGAACAAGATAATAGGCTGATATATGAGGGTATCTTAGTTTTATTGACTTGTATTTTATCACATGGGCCAGAACTTTTATTTTATTTTATTTTTTGGGTCCGGTCATGGGGCCTGAACTCTGGGCCTGGGCGCTGTCCTTCAGCTCAAGGCTAGTGCTCTACCACTTACGCCACAGTGCCACTTCCGGCTTTTTTCTTTTTGCTTATGTGGTGCTGAGGAATCGAACCCAGGGCCTCATGCATGCAAGGCAAGCGCTCTACCACTGAGCCACCTTCCCAGCCCCTGGCCAGAACTTTTAAAACACTATTTAACAAAATTAGTGACCAAGGCCATCCTTGTATATGTGAATTAAATGTAGCATTAAAAGTATTGCTAGGCCAGATGCCCATGGCTCATGCCTGTAATCCTAGCTACTCAGGAAGGTCATGGTTCTGAACAAACCTGAGGAAGAAAGTCTGTGAAACTCTTTATCTCCAAGAAACTGCTCAAAAAAAGCTAGAAGTGGCACTGTGGCATTGGTGTGGTAGAGGGCTAATCTTGAACAAAAGAAGCTCAAACGTAGTGCTCAGGCCCTGAGTTCAAGCCCCAGGATTGGAGGGGGGGGGGAGAGAGAGAGAGAGAGAGTATTGCTAGATGCTCGTGGCTCACACCTGTGTAATCCTAGCTTCCCTGGAGGCTGAGATCTGAGGATTGTTGTTTGAAGTGAGCACAGGCAGGAAAAAAGACCTTGAGAATCTTAGCTCCAATTAGTCACCAAAAAGCCGGAAATAGAGTTGTGGCTCAAGTGGTAGAGAGCAATAAAAGGACAGTGCCCAGTTCTTGAGTCCAAGCTCCAGGTCCAGCATACACACATACACACACACAGCACTGTGATACTTGGTACAAAGAAAGTGAATTTTATTTGGGACAAAGAATATTACCATTTGTCTAGGAAAAGGACAATGTGATATAGCCTTAGTTCTTCAGATTATGCTAGTACCATTAGGTGCCTGTAAGGGATATATTGAAGAAGTACTTTAACAGTATTTTACAGGAATCTTAATATATGAGTGGAAAATTTTAACATTTAAAATTATTTCTGGATCTTCATTTCTTAATTTTTCAAAAACAAAAATAGAAGATATACACAATTATATAATTTGTTGGTAAATTAATTTGTGGGAATTCAGGGGTTAGGGAGACCTTCATGGGTTTGATTATTTGATTATATGGAACCCAAGCAGATTATAATTGCCCATTTTGTCAAAAGTAGAGGAGTGAGGTAAGAGTATTACAGTGACTGGAAGAATGTGACCAGACTGTGGGATATGTACCATATCCAAGATCTCTAGAAGTTAGCTGAAAATTTATACAGATACTAAGTAAGCTTATTCAAGATCTTAAAAAGTTTACCCCTTGTGGTATGGTGATAAAACTGTGATATGAATATAATTATTTGGTGAATCCAAAATTTTAATTGCAATTTAATCTATAGTGACTATTTGATATAGAACATTTCTGTATCCTTTTGTGGTTGTTTTTATTTTGGGGGGGGTACTGTCCTGTTTTTTATATGAGTATCCAAGAGTATTTTGTTATTGTTTGGAATGAATTCTTTTTGTACTATCTGCTTGTAGAATCCATGAATTAAATTGAAAAATTTCAAATTAGCTAACTCAAATTTGAATAGCAAATATCAGTTTTACTTTTACATTTTGCAGACTGCAACAGACAGTTTAATACTGAAAAGTACCACCTCATCAATATTATTTAAACAGGTACATTTATTTATTTTATTTATTTTTGCAGTGCTGAGGACCAAACTCAGGGCCTTGTACTTGGCAGGCAAGTGCTCTCAGTACATTTGTTTTTGCTATCACTGTTTTGATATAATGGGAAAAACCATTACTATCTTACATAAAATTAAACCGTTTTTTTTTTAAGATTTGGAAAAGTGTAATTCATATTTTCTTATCTTCAAGTTTCATACAGTTTACAGCACTAAAAAATATTCTTAGAATCTGCAGGTATAGCTCATGTGGTAGAACATTGGCCTTAAGCAAAAGAAACTCAGAAGTCAAAAAATGAAAAAAACCAAACAACAACAACAGGGAGAGCTTGAGCCCCTGAGTTCAAGCCCCACTGTTGGCATACACACACACACACACACACCACCACCACCTCCACCACCACCACCACCAATAACAAAAACCTGGTCTTAAAAATGTAGTTAATGCTGGGCGCTGGTGGCTTATGCCTGCAATCCTAGCTACTCAGGAGGCTGAGATCTCAGGATCGAGGTTCAAAGCCATCCCAGGCAGGAAAGTCCGTGAGACTTTTATCTCCAATAAACCACTAGAAAACCGGAAGCTGTGCTGTGGCTCAAGTGGTAGAGCACTAGCCTTGAGCTGAAGAGTAGAGGGACAGCGCCCAAGCCCAGAGTTCAAGCCCTACAACTAACAACAACAAAAATGTAGTTTAATGAGCCAGGTGCCGGTGGTGGCTCATGCCTATAAGCCTAGCTACTCAGGAGGCTGAGATCTCAGGATCACTGTTCAAAGCCAGCCAGGGCAGAAAAAGTCCATGAGACTCTTTATCTCCAATTAACTACCAGAAAACCTGAAGTGACACTGTGGCTTAAGTGGTAGAGTGCTCACCTTGAGCAGAAGAGCTGAGGAACAGTTCACAGGCCCAGAGTTCAAGCCCCACAACCGACCAAAAAAAAAAAATGTAGCTAATGTCAAGTGCCTGGGCTTGGCATGCTGAGAATTGTAAACAAAAGCTATAAAAAATAAAATTCTTGCAAATTCTTTTGATTAGCAAACCATTAGCTATACTCTGCTTGTGCTATTTTGTGTTGGGAGTGGCAGTTAGTCCTCTTGTTATCTGCCTCTGAACTAGTCCACAAACTGACTATAGTTGGCTGACTTAGGAGGCTGCTTGCAAAGCAACACCTGATTCTTTGTCCCATCCATTGATATCTATTTGTTCCTATGCTCTGAGTCTCATTGCTGGAATTTATCAGTCATCAAGGAATTTTTGGTTTCAGATGTGATAACAATAAGTGTAAGGCACACTGCCTGATATTTACAGAGGCAGGGCTCAAAATCAGTCTTTGTCATCAAAGAACTCCTAGCCTAGTAGAATCTATGGGTACAAAACAAAATTTTGATTGATTCTCAAACCTGTTTTCCATTACTATCCTTTGTCCTGTATTCAGTTCTAGAAAGTAGTTATAATTCCTTGTGAGATATTCTAAATAAAGTATCCTGCATTTTAGTGAGTCGTTGCCTTGGCCTTTATCTCCTTATTGCCTCCCTCCCTCCCTCTCTCCCTTTCTCCCTCCCTGTAGTTCCTTTCTCTCCCTTCTCCCTTCTCCCAGCTCCCTTCCCTTAGTCATGTATTCTCATTGCCTCTAGTATCTAGACAGAATGAGTGTTTTTTTTCTCTCTACCACATTTCAATATCCCATGATCTTTTCATGTTTTTATTTTTTGAATTCTCTCTTCCATTAGTGTATATTGTGCCTTTCAGTTCTTAGCAGAAATATTACCTCCTTCATGACATTGCTTCCTAGGTAGCCTGAAAAGTTTTGTTTTCAAATTCTTACAGCCATAGTTATATCTCATAAATCTTTGCTTTGTTTGTATTATAGATATTTATACATATGGTTTATCATAGTTGAAACATCATGTTAGAGAGGTTCTCATTTCATGGCTGTATTCCTTAGTATGGGGCTTACTGCCTCACACATACAGGTATTCAGGAAGTGGATCTTAATGCTGATACTGTGTGGTTGGCCTGGTGTATTACTCACTTTACAAGGTGTTGCATGTATATCTGCCATCTGAAATAATGTACTAAAACTGAGCATTCAGTTTACATGTGAATATTCCTAACGTATAATGAGTGACTATAGTCATCAACCATATGGTACAGTGGGTTTTGTTAGTAACAACATTCCATTTTCTTTGTTCTTGGGCAGGAGACTCAGATGAAAGGGAACAGTCAAAACTGGAAGTTAAGGTGTGGGATCCCAATAGTCCACTCACAGATCGGCAGATTGACCAGTTTTTAGTTGTAGCTCGGTGAGTATGGCATTATTGAGGCAAGGAATACCTTTTCTTCTCAAAATAATTTGTAGTTCAGATATTTTCCTTCCTTTGCATTCTACTTTTTTCCTGTTGGTTATATTATTATTTTTCTAGTCATATAAGAAAGCTTAATATATGCCACTGCTTCCTAAATAGTATGATTACTATCATTTCCTGTACTAAATGAAAATAAGTTTATTAATTTTCACTGGTTAAGAAAACAATAGTGTAAAGAAGAAATCTCACAACTGCATTTTTGATGTTTAATGAAAGCAACTATTTTATGTGACTTTCCTCTAGACTAGATTATTCAGGTACCAGTAGAAGTATGCCTCTCAGGTTCCTCATAGTGCATGAGGAGGGCCTTTTTGCACACAAGGCTTTCCTGTGAGAGCTGTCAGCCTGACTGGCTTGCTTTTCCCCTTGGCTCTTTGCTCAAGAAAGTGAATGGGATCCGGGTGCTGGTGGCTCACACCTGTAATCCTAGCTACTTAGGAGGCTGAGACAAAGCCAGCCGGGCAGGAGAGACCGTGAGACTCCTATCTCCAATAAACCACCACAAAACCGGAAGTGGTGCTGTAGCTCAGGTGGTAGAGCGCTCACCTTGAGCTGAAGAGCTGAGGGACAGCGCCCAGGCCCAGAGTTCAAGCCCCACGACCGACCAAAAAAAAAAAAAAGTGAATGGGGCAGAAATTTTGTTATTGTAATTATGAGAACAAATGGTGCTCATGGAAAATTGCACAAAGCAGAAAGTGAATAAGATTATCACAACATTGGAATAGTAGATAAATTGGGAAAAATCCTGAGCGAACATCAGCAAAAAATGATAAACGAATAAAGGTATATTCATACAATGTACTATTACTTTTTAGCAATTAAAATGGATGAATTAGAACTGTATGTAGCAAAGAGATAAATCTCAAAAGTAATGTTGAGTGAAGGACATACAGTTTGATCATTCCTATGTATACAGTGTGATCATTTTTTAAAAATTGTATAATGTACAAAATATTACATTTCACAAATGGTTTTATATGTATTACACATTAATGGATATAAATATACCTATTGGATTTGAGGGTAGGTATAGATGACTCTACTAAATTTATTTATTTCCTTGAAGGAATGAGACATGGCAGAAGACTAGAATCAGATGTAATATTTTCTGTTGCACTTTGTTGATAATACAAAAGAAAAACAGTCTTAGCTCATCCGTTGGCAGCACTGTTCTTAGAGATAGTCATCAAGGAAAGTAACACAGCATTTGGAGTACAGAACCCTTATTTCTTTAAATGATTGGATTAAAGCATTTAATGTACATTATTAGGAAACAAAGTCAGTGGGAAAATTCCAGAGAAAGTATATGAAAAGACACAGCACTTTTATATTTGATTTGCACTTTGTTTTATTACTTTTACAATTGCCATGAGCTGAGCTATATTTCTTTTTCTTGGAAGTCAGAAAAAGGGTCACTAAGGAATTATATATCTGTACTATCTTTTTGTGTGTGTGCCAGTACTCGGGTTTGAACTCTGGGCCTGAGCACTATCCTTGAGCTTTTGTGCTCAAAGATAGTGCTATATGATTTGTACTACAGCTCCATGTCTGGTTTTTTGTGCTTAATCAGTGATGGAAGTTTCACAGACTTTCCTGACCTGACTGGCTTCAAAACATGATTCTTAGATCTCAGCCTTCTGAGTAGTAGGATTACAGACATGAACTATTGGCACCTGGCATAAAAAAGTAATCTGAATGCAAACTAAGGTTCAATTTATGGTGGTTTTTGTTTTTTGTTTTTGTGCATGTATTGGGGCTTAAACTCAGGTCCTCAGTCTTACTTGGCTTTTTTGTTCCAGGCTGGCTCTCTACCACTTGAGCCATGCCTACACTTCTTAAGGCCCAGTTTTCAAATGCCAAGAATTAGCAAAGACGTGGAACTGTTAAAACTGCTTTAGAAGAGTATGCTATCTAATGCCACATCCCTTAAACTTCACCTGGCAGAAAAGCATACACCTGTGTATTTAGTACACCTGTGTACTAAAGGATATAAACAAGTGACATTAGTGCTACCATTCATAGTAGCTCCAAATTTTAAACAGCACCTACTGTTGATTAAAGTGAGCAAAGGTGGGCATAGGAAATAAAAAAGAACACTCCATCACAAGGAAAATAGATGTGTACAGCTCTGGCTGACAATTTGATGATGTCACACATCTGAAATCCCAGCACTCAGGAAGCTGAGGTAGGAGTATCATGAGTTTGAGGGCAGCCTAGACACAGAGTGAGTTTCTGGCCTAACCTGGGCTATAGTGGATCCTGTCTGAAAATAACACAATGTGTCCGTACTGTGTGATTTTATATGAGCAAAACTTACCTGTGGTGTTAGGATCTGGGATCATGGTTCCTTTGGGAAGCAGGAATTGGGAATAATGTGGGAGGGATTGGTATCTTTTCTTTTTTGTACCTCATTGTTGGTTAGAACCTAAGTTCATTCACTGTGATAAGTAAGTAGCTGTGCATTGTGGTAGTTTTTACATATGTGTCATATTTTAATTAAAATGTTTGAACAATCTCTTCCTTAGCTAATGTTTAAAAATACTGGTCTTAAGTCTCAACTTCATCTTATTCTGTACCTCTTGAAGTTAAGCCTCTTTTTTTGTACCAGTCCTGGGGCTTGAACTCAGTGTCTGGGCATTGTCCCTGAGCTTCTTTTGTTCAAGGCTAGCACTCTACCACTTGAGCCACAGCACTGCTTCTGGCCTTTTCTGTTTATGTGGTACTGAGGAGTCTAACCCAGGGCTTCATGCATGCTAGGCAAGCACTAAGCCTTATTCCCAGCCCCAAAGCTCCTTTACATATAGAAAAGCATGAAAATCAACACTGTGGACTTTTTTTAAAAATAGGATTTAGTAGAAATTAATTAAATATTATAGTACTCATAGGAAAGGATTTCTACAGTTAGTTCAAAAGTAGTCAGAGCTGGTGCCAGAAGGTCAAGCCTGTAATCCCAGCTACTCAGGAGGCTGAGATCTCAGGATGGAGGTTCAGAGTCAGCCTGGGCAGGAAAGTCCATGAGACTCTTATCTCCAGTAAACCGCCAGAAAACCAAAACTGATACTTTGGCACTGTGGCTCAAGTGGTAGAGCACTAGCCTTGAGCCGAAGAGCTGAAGGACAGTGCCCAGGCCCAGAGTTCAAGCCCCATGACTGGAAGAAAAAAAAAAGTGGTTAGAACTTGCTTTGTGATAGTAGTCACCATGTAACTGATTTACTTAAAAAACAAATTTGAGTATCAAATTATTTACATCATGACATTTTATTTCTTCTTTATGTCTATACAGGCTAATTTTCTTGACTGAATTACAGTTATATATGGTAAAATGGTTTGTCAATTGCAGGCTAATATCCTTTATCTGAAATGCTTGGAACGAGAATTTTTTTTTTAACTTAGGAATATGTGTATATGTATTTATAATGAGGTATGACTTAACAATGGGTCCTAAGTCTAAATGCAAAATTATTCACTTATGTGTACAGATTGTATGTGGAGATCAAAAGTAATTTTAAGCAATATTTTTTAAAATAATTGTTTATGAAACAAAGTATCATAGTACAGAATTTTCCACTTGTATTAGTCATATCAGTGCTCAAAGTTTCAAGTTTTGGAACATTTTAGATATTTAGATAGGAGTGTTCCACCTGTATTTAAATCTTTTTATAGAGGCAAAAAAAAAGAGATACTTTTTAGTTGATTCTTGATTCTTTAATATCCAACGACTTCTTAAATTTTTAAAAATAATTTTTCTCATTCACTACTCAAATTTTTTTTTAAGGCAAAGAAATGGCAGGCTAATTTTTTTGTATTTGGTTTATTCAGTGCTGTTGGGACATTTGCTCGTGCCCTTGACTGCAGCAGTTCAGTACGACAGCCTAGCTTGCACATGAGCGCAGCTGCAGCTTCCCGAGACATCACCTTGGTAAGATGCTTCTAAAATTTTGTGGTTATTGTTTAACTATGAAACAATATAGCAATATTGAAGATTTGAAAGCCTGGCTCTTACTCTTATTGACTAATAGATTGATTTGTATTGGTTACTTGGTAAACCAGGTTTCTGAATCACTTTTTTGGTTTGTGAGCTGAGACAAGAAGAAAAACGACTCTCCTAGGATATCTATAAAGTGGTAAAAATAAAATATTTAGAGGCATAATTCTCCATTCTGATGTTCCTGTTTTCACGTTGGGCTTGTTTTCTATCTTCCATCTAAGTAGCTGTACATTACATATTGTGATTTACAGTTTGATGAGGGAGTTTAAACTTAGGCCTCAAGGTACTCTGTCACTGAGCTTTTAACCCTGTTTCTCACTAGTTATTTTTAAGTTAGAGTCTGATTTTTCTGCCAGGAATATACCTGGACTACACTCTCCCTATTTTTAGACATCTTATAGTTGCTGGAATGACTGATATGCACTACCTCATCCAGCCATGGCTTGAGAAGGGAGTCTCATGAACTTTTTGCCTGACCTCCTTCAAATTTTAATCCCCACACCTCCCCCTCTCCCTCTTTTATGGTGCCAATCCTAGGGCTTGCTTGAACTCAGAGCCTTGGCACTATCCTTGAGCTTCTTTTGTTCAAGGCTAGCACTCTACCACTTGAGTCACATCTCTACTTCCAGCTTTTTGAGTTGTGTTTAATTGGAGGTAAGAGTTTCACAGACTTTCCTGTCCAGACTGGTTTCAAACGACAATTCTCAGATCTCAGCCTCCTGAGTAGGATTACAGTCATGACTACTGGTGCCTGGCCAGTCTTCCCATTCTTACCTATCCAAGTAGTTAGTGTTACAGGTATGAGCCACAGGTACCAGGCTGTTTTACAATCTTTATTAGCTTTTTTACAGGCGTGTGTGTGTGTGTGTGTGTGTGTGTGTGTGTGTGTGTGTGTGTGTAATATACACATCTTAAGACTTGCTGGGAAAGTGACTTAGCAGTAGAGTGTTTGCCTAGCATGCATGAAGCCCTAGCTTCTATTCCCCAGTATCACATGAACAGAAAAAGCCTGAAGTGGCTCTGTGGATCAAGTGGTAGAGTGATAGCTTTGAGTAAAAGAAGATCAGGGATAGTGACAGGCCCTGAGTTCAAGCCCCAAGACTGAAAAAAAAAAAAGGACTTGATGGAGGGCTTATTTTGTTGTCATATGTCAGTGTTTAAATTTTCAATATTTATTTTTTATTTTTATTTATGTTTTGGTCATGGGGGTTGAACTCTGGGCCTGGGTGCTGTCCCTAAGTTCTTCAGCTCAAGGCAGTACTCTACCACTTGAGATACAGTGCCACATCCGGTTTTCTGGTGGTTTATTGGAGAAAAGAGTTTCATTGCTTTTCCTGCCCAGGCTGGATTTGAACTATGATCCTCAGATCTCAGCCTCCTGAGTAGCTAGGATTACAGGTGTGAACCACTGGCCCCTGGCTAAAGTTTTTCGTGTCTATTAGAGATTCTGTTGTTTTTATTTCATGAAATTTCAGTTACTGTCTTCTAAATTTAGTTCCTTTATTTCTCTTGGTGAACAATTCAACCTTTCCTTACTCAGTTTAGTTGTCCCACTAATGCTAGGTGTAGCTTGTTCTTGGATCTGACCTTGTTTCTTACAAAAAGTAGACATGTAGATTTTCAGTTAAGCTATTTCCTGTATTTTATCTCCACATCCTTTTGTGAGGGATACAGGATGAAATGCTCATTTTGCAGTTTAGGAACAAGGTTTAGTGAGGTTATACTATGCAGTGATCAAAATTCATTACATGTAACAAAACTTTCAACTATTTTCTGATGGAATAGTGCTAAGCTTTGGTAGTTTCTGATTATTTGCCAATTTGAGAAGGGTTTCACAAAATATTACTGTAATAAAATAACTCATACTGAGGTACCTATCAACTTTATTTCTTACATTTTTCTGTGTATTTTTGTGTAATTACAGGTTATGATGAAACTATTAGTAGTCAATATTTTTTTTGAAGCCTTTTATCTCTTGTTAAAGGTTGTGATGTTTACAGGAAAAATCTTGTTCTGTCCATTGGTATGTTAATATTTTATGCAAGCATTTAGGAATTCAAAAAATAGGCTTGTGTTTTGGTTGTTTAGAAATTAAGGAGTATTTTTAACACTGAAGCAAGTGTGCTGGTAATCTTGTTTTTATGAACCTTAAAAGTACCATTTTTGTTTTATTTTATTAACCACCTACATATTTTGCCCTATTCAGAATTATTATTTCTCCAATCCTAAAATTAATGTATGCTTATTATGAAAAATTGAAAAACAGTATAGCAGCACCCAAACTTTTATTCTCATTACCAGAGCAGAATATTCTTACCAGCCTCTTTCTGTGTATCATAAACAGTAATAATAGTAAATTAAAAACAGTACAGTGGATGTTTTAGTAAAACTTGATACAAGTCTACCTCTAGAAAATGTTAGTATTCTAATTCTTCAGATTAAAATATTTAACCATTATAGTTAATGTTGAAGTCTGTAATACAGTCTTGAATACTAAGCCTCTTCCATCTGTTTTTCCTACCTTTATTACCTCTGCCTCCTATGAAGAGGTAGCTGCTACAACAAATTTGCTCTGGTTTCATTATGTGTTTATATACCCCAAAACATTTTTACACATGCTTGAATTGACTCTTAATATTTTGTCCTTTGCTTATTATTTGATACCTATTTATTTATGACCATGCGTATAATTTATCCTAGCTTACAACTGGTGTTGGAATGCTGGATCATAGAGTAATGCTCATTTAGAATTTGACCAAATTATTTGGCACACAAGAGTAGAAATTTATAGTTGCAAATGCAGTTACTAGGTGATCTGCTGGGTTTTTTTGTTTTTGATTTTGTTTTGTCGGTCATAGGGCTTGAACTCTGGGCTTGGGTGCTGTCCTCATGTTCTTCAGCTCAAGGCGAGCGCTGTGCCGCTTGAGCCACAGCACCACTTCCAGTTTTCTGAGTGGTTAATTGGAGATAAAAGTCTCACAGACTTTCTGCCCGGGCTGGCTTTGAACCGTGATCCTCAGATCTCAGCCTCCTAAGAAGCTAGGATTGCAGGTGTGAGCTACCGGTGCCAGGCAGTTTTTTTGTTTTGTTATGCTTTTGGAGAGTTTATTTTGGTGTTGAGAATGGAACCCAGACCTTTCCATACTACCAGTGTGTTCTATAGCTAAGCCACAACCCCAGCCCTGTGTTCTACATTCTTTATCGGTTTCCTTACACTTATAGTTTCAGATTTTAATGCTTACTATCCCAATGCTTTCTCATTTTTTATTCCCTGATTACTTAATGAGATTTAGCTTATTTTCATGCTTATTGGATTCAGAGTTTTCTTTTTTGTGCTTTAGAGTCTTCATGCATTCTTTACTTATACCATCATTCTATTTTTATAGTGTATTCTTTTCTTCAAATGCACAAATGCAAATGCATTGTCTCAGTTCTGGAGGCTACCAGTCTAAATTCAGGTTATTCTTGAGACCATGCTCACTGTAAGAGAGTAGAGCCTTCCTGCCTCTTTCTAGTTTCTGATACTTGGCTTGTAGCTGTGTAATCCAATCTGTGGATTTCTGCCTCTATCTTATTTTTTTCTAATGGTCTTAAAATACTGTTCATATTTTAAATGTTTATGAGTGTATTAGTATAGTGAGGAAGGCATCTAATTTTTCTCATGTGTTAATCAGCCCAGCATCTTTTATTGAGTTTGTTGTTTCTTATTTTTACTTCCCCATGAGTCATATTTCAAAATCCTAGGTTTCTCTTTTACTTTATTGATCTTTTTGTCTTGAATAAACACATTGTAATAAGTTTTTTTCATTATTTAGAGAGTATCTTATTACCAAACCCACATAAGTAAGACCTTATATAGTTAATACAGTGCATTTACCCCTGTATAAATGGAAAAAATTACATTTGTTACTAGACCAATATAGTAGCTATTAATTTCTGAACAATGTCAACACGGTAAACTGGGATACTTTTTCCAAAGTTGACAGAAAAGCTAAGGTTTCCAATCAAGTTATATATATATATAAAACTGATATATAGACATATATATATATATATATATAATAGTAGTATAGGATGTATCAGTAGCAACAACAGCTTTTCCTGGTTCTCTAGTCATCGAACAAAATTAAGAGACATCCACATATTCCATTAATAAAAAGAAAAAAAAGGTAAAAAAACAAATCATGTTGAGCGAGGTAAGCCAAGAACGAAGAGACAAACGGTACATGGTCTCCCTGATAAGTGGATGCTAAATCCAAAAGGTTAGGTGATACGACAAAACTAACAGGACTTAAGAAACAAAGAACTCCCGCTCATCTGGTTGAACCACTACTAAATATCCCCATGCTGCTGATCACAAATATGGTATATAACACGTGAACACTGTTATATATTACAGACTGTGGTAGACAATTTGCTCCAGGGAAGTTAGAATGAACTTGTGACTTTGAAATTATTTAATCACAATCAAAAAAAAAAAAAAAAAAAAAGAACCTCGGGGGAGGGAGGGAGGGGATGGTAGGGGGAAAACAATGGAGGGGGTAACAATGTTCAAGAGGAAGTGTACTCAGTACCTCACTCATGTAACTGTAACCCTCTGTATAGTAGCTTTACAATAAAAAAAAGAAAAAAAAGAAAAAAAAAATAAAGAACTTTCTAGAAAGAAAAAAAAAAACAAAACCCCAGAAAAAAATGTGAAGTTCTGTTAACTGTTGTGTACCTGGCAGCATTTTTAAAAAATTAGCTTCTCAATCATTGTAAAGAAAACATTCTCACTGTGTGATTAAGAGTCCTGTTTATCATGCCCAAGCATTATTTTTTTTTGCCTTTTACTGTCCATGTGTTTACTTGTAGATTTATAAGTACATTTTAATTTTTATAGATCGGAGAAACCATTAAACCTATGTTTATGTGGTTCTTGCTTACTTCAC